TCTGGACAAATCGACAAATGAGATCGTTCCTTAGAATGATTGCACACTTCATTATTGATTTCAATATGCAAAGTGTCATGTTGGCTTCCTGATGTTTTCATGGATCACATACTGCTGAAAATATTATTCAACACTTTGAGAATATTGTCACATCATTTGGCATTCAAAATAAGGTGTTATGCATTGTTACAGAAAATGCCTCAAATGTGATGAAGACGTTTCGCTTACTTGAAGAGGCAGAGATGCCACTGACCAATGAAGAGAATGATGATGATGATGTAAATGATGGCAATGCAAATGACGAATTGCACCCAGTAACAGTCAGCCTTGAAAATAAATGTTCTTTCAAATCACCTCATTTCACCTGCTTTGCTCATACATTACAACTTGTTGTCAGTGATGGTCTAAAGGAGTGTTTCCCAAAATGTGGTACGCATACCTCTGGTGGTAATGTGTATTAGAAAAAAAAAGTATATAAAAAAATAAATCTTAACGTGATTATTACATTATCTGCCGACAATTAAACATTGGCTATTATTCAGAGGGCATGCGCGTCATCTGGTCTGCTTTGTTATAACAATGTCATCTTGAGATGAGTAAAATAATGTTTTGAAATAAATATTATGGTAACTGATACTGCTTTTCCATTTATCCTAGTGTTATGAAATTTCCTTTTAAAATAAATTTATTTAAGTAAAAAAAGTGAGTCGATTTAAAGAAAAAGTAAGTAAAACGTAAATAATAGTACATGTAGTACGCAGATATGTCAAAAAATGTGACGGTGGTATGCGATTGACTGCAGTTTGGGAAGCACTGGTCTAAAGGAAGCTGATTCTGTTAAGGATGTTTTGAGCAAGATATCTCAAGTGGTGTCCCATGTTTGCTGCTCCACTCATGCAACTGATCTATTTGAGAGTGAGGGTGAGGTACGTCTCCAATCCGCCAATGCAATCCGATGGAATTCTCAGCTTGCAATGATTAGATCACTCCTCAAAGTGTCTGAATCTACTATGCAGAAACTTGACTTCTTTGAAAAAATTAACATATATGAAACCAACATGGCTAAGGAACTTGTTGAAATTCTGACTCCATTTGATTGGGAGACATATATGGCTCAAGGAGAAAAAGTTACATCCAGCATTATACTCCCTATTATCCATGGACTTCATACTGAGATGCTCAAGTTGTCCCCTAAGTACAGCAGTACGATGGTGCAAACTCTCAAGACATCTGTAGATCGGCGACTATCTAAATTTAACACACTTATATTCAAAGTTGCTGTCACTCTCAATCCGAGATGGAAGTTGGCCTGGTGCACCCCTGAAGAGGCGCAGGCAGCTGTGCTAGTCAAAGTAATCACTGTGAACAGTGACACTCTAACAACTTCTTCTACTTCCAACTCTGATAATGACAGCACTGCACCATCACCATGTAAACGATCCAAGTTTGTCTGGTTCATGAAGGATGTGCATCGACAGCCAACAAGCACAGGACCAAAAACAAGGCCAGATTTTGAAACCAAAATTTCAGAATATTTCAGTAGCCTATGTTTGCCTGAGGAAGCTGATCCATTACCATTTTGGAAAGATCAAGCAGATCACAACAATAATGAAGTTTGGCATGAGCTTACCTGCTTAAGCCTTCAGATTCCAGCCTCTAGTGTCCCTGTTGAGTGACTTTTCTCGATCGCACTGCACTGACAGCACTGCACCATCACCATGTAAACGATCCAAGTTTGTCTGGTTCATGAAGGATGTGCATCAACAGCCAACAAGCACAGGACCAAAAACAAGGCCAGATTTTGAAACCAAAATTTCAGAATATTTCAGTAGCCCATGTTTGCCCGAGGAAGCTGATCCATTACCATTTTGGAAAGATCAAGCAGATCACAACAATAATGAAGTTTGGCATGAGCTTACCTGCTTAAGCCTTCAGATTCCAGCCTCTAGTGTCCCTGTTGAGTGACTTTTCTCTATCGCAGGCAAAGTCTTCAAACCAGAAAGATGCAACTTGACAGACTATCGACTTGAACAACTGATGTTTATTTGGTGTAACAACTGACTTTAAAAATTTTGGGAATAAAACTTCAGATTTAAACTTTGTTTTTTTGATCGCTTGAGTGATACATAATTAACTTGATTACCTATTGTGAAATTTAATGAAAAAAATAAATAGTGTTGTTTGTAATCTTTGATTTTCTGTAATCGTAATCATAGCCAAGTAATCATGATTGTAATCGTAATCTAGAATTTTGGAGTATAATTGTAATCGTAATCAGATCTTGCAATCATGTTTAATCGTAATCACACACTGCTCAACACTAGTCTAGACTGTTAGAGCCACATTTCTTAAATCATTCAGCGTAATGCTAAGATATATTAACATAGATAGATAGTAGCCCCAAATTAATTTATTTACTTATAGCATGACATTTACATGTATTACAATCATTCCAAATGTTACTGGGTAATACACTCATTACAAAACTTTAAGGGGGGCACACATCGTGACTTCAAAAGAAACTGCTCATATGTTCTAGGGGAACAAGTAATTCTTACATCAAAATACTAAAATATTTGAATCATGAAGATAAGTCAACTTAGTCTGAATGCTAGATAATGATCATCAAACCTTTAAAGTTGCATTTTCTGGCTCTTGACTAATAACAGATGCAGCTAAGGTTAGAGAGGGTGATGCAGAACTTAAAACTTTCTCCTGTGATGAACCAGCTTCAACATTAATTCCACCAGTAACTGTACCATGAGATAGAAAAAAGAAAGTAAGTATATATATATATATATATATACACACATACACATATATATACAGCTTAGATAAGAATAAAAGAATTAATAGTGTTGATGCATCATCTTTTTTCATACTTAATGGTGAGAACAGTAGGACTAATAAACACAAATATAAATATTAGTTAGGTAGGAGCCTTCTTTAGCTAAGATAATTTTATTTTTCTAACGCTAGGGTGGTTGGCCTTTGGAATGGTTTGCTTTCAGATGTGATGGATGCAGTAAATATAAGGAAAGGCTTGACAAATATTTGAATGAGACAAGCTGGATCTGAGTGTTATATTTTTATTTCAAAGTTTAGCTTAGTGGATAGGATGGCCCAGATGGACCAATGATCTCTTTTTGTCATTAAATTATGTTATACATATTACAAAATTGATTTACTTTAAAAGTTTAGTAGCCCTCAATTAATTATTATAATTTGACATTTCTACATTTCTCAGGAACTGATTTGAAAAATATAAACATAACTGTTAATATACATTCAAAAGGAAGTACACTATATTGCTCACAATATGATCAGATTGTTGACTAATTTATGAAACTGTTATTTAAGCCTAACTAACCACAGTAAAATTTTCTGTACTTTATTCTTACCATTTGTACTAAGATGTCCAATGAATTCAGTGTTAGATGTACACTGCTTTCTTTTAACATCTTTCTAGCACTGGAAGCACAATCCATCATTAGCAGATTTTCCATAAAATTTACATCCCGATCTACAGATTGATACATGATTTGTATCACACTCGGTGTCTTTTTTCACTCAACTTTTTGTAACTTCACCTATTTTTAAAAATTGAAGAAGAAATTAACATGTAATAAAAAATTAACTTGTTGCATTTTCTGAACAAAAACATTCTTATTAATTACTAGATTTACATTTGGTTAAAATAACTTTACTACTAGTCCAAATGTTTCAAATTATAGAACAAAATGTTTGACATTCAAATAAACTGAAAGAAATATTTTATTAATAATATACTGTAACATATTAATAAAATTTACTTTTGTATTTGATCAGTTTGCAGAATCATACCAGATCTACATTGTTTGTCTACAATTAAAAGAATTATTCACACATATTTTAATATGTACATAATTAGTTGAATGCAGCTTTAATATTTTATACTTCCCAATTAATGAAGAAAATATCTATATTACAATGAACCACAAACTGACAAAAGCTCCTTATTTGTAGCTTATCATAATCAACACGACAAATTCTAAAAATAGTATTTTTCTAATCTGTATATAATTATAAGTAAAAATAACTTTGTGCTAATCATACATTCATAATTTATGATATATTACATCCATATTAAATACCATAAGTTATAAACTTGTTGAAATTCATGAAAAAAATATTTAAATATCTACACGAACAATTTTTCCAAAAACAGCTCAAATTTGATGCGTCATATCCTACTGGTCTAATCAAAAGGTTTTTACTTGTTTATATTATAGTAATAGTAATAATGTAAAAAAAAATAACCAAATGTATTTAATTTTACTAAATATGTATACATTTTACTCAATACCTTTTCAATAATAAATAATCTTATAAAATATTTATACATTTTAATTTTTACCCATAGTTCGTGCAACATGCCAAATATCTTATTTTTTAATTTTATACTAAAATGAGTCAAGGCGTCATCAAAATGTCCAAGTTAGTCGAAGTATATTATACTTTTACTTTATAGTTATAGACTTATAAGTTATAACTTACAAGTCATGGGTTTCTACTTCTAGCCTATAATTATAAAACTAAAAGTATAATAGGACAGTAAACTTATTACAATTTTCTTATATGTACTGTAGGTTTTATAAAATATGTAGTTTACCTTCAGTATGCCATTTATGAAGTATAACTACTAATTTAAAAAGTATGAACAGTATATTTAACATTTTAAAAAACTTACTGACAAGTAAAGACTTGCGATACAAATTTCATACGATATGCAAGTTACAACGGGTGAGAAGCTTTAATTCAATTTCTCATTCATGCGTGACTCTGATACGAAAAACCCCTGTATTGTTGTATTAACTTGATAAGCAACCTAAAGTAATAAATTATTGGTCGAACGTTTTCAACACTCGCAGTTCTATAAAAAATTAATTCTAAAACGCCTAAAATGGAAGGGAAAGTAAAAATTAAAAGAACGTGTTTGTTTAGTTTACCATGGCATCAAGAAGCACATTGAAATAAGCGTGCAAGATCATTAATTACCAAAAAAAGGGTTATATAACAGTTTACGTTATTAAAAAGACATGGATTTATTTTTAAGAAAAGCTAAGATTGTATTTACATATTAACAAATTATTATTTTTAACGGAACACAAGTATCACCCATCTTAACGTACAGAAGATATTAAATCATGTTTTTTCTAATATGAAAAGTTAAGTCTAAAGTGCCAGGTAATTAACACAATGATATTAGACATGTTGATCTTTCATTAGGCTATATTAAATCCTCTAAAAAATTATTCACTTGCGAAAAATCATGATTTCGGCGAAGATAGCTTCTTGTGTGAAAGAAAATATGATGTTTTTTGTTACTAGAACGGTATTTTACGTTTAAGTTTCAGTAAAAAGGTTTTGGAACAAACTACTGACAGTTGTGAAGTTCAAAATTTAATGTTGTCTTTTTTTCAGTTTTCATTGTTGTTCGTATGATCACTTTCTTACATACCTTCAACTTTCGGTTTGTCGTCAGATTAAGTGTTTGACACTGAACTGAAAACTCAAACAAACATATAACATATCATACTGACAATAAGGGGTCAATTGGTCCATCAAGGCTATTCTAACTCTTACTTGAGAAAAATAAAAACTTAAACCAATACTTTATTTGTATGTAGATATTGATAGCGTAAGTACATAATTCCGTAAACTTTAGGTTTTATTTTATATTGGCGACCGAAAGGTAGCGCTATCAATAAACACACGTGGCTATGACACTTAAATACACGAAGCTCTGTGTATGATCATAACATAAGTTATGGCTGCTGTTACTATTAGTGTTGGGCGCAGAAGTTTGTATTTGTGGAATAGTATTTGGAGATATGGAAAATGTAATATATATATATATATATATTAAAATCAGTAGTTACTCTTAAACAACTGGTAAAATTGAAATTTAGTCAACAAGTGTGGAACTTAAGCCAATATTATTTACATTTTTTCAAGTTTTATGATTGTATTACCGATAGATAGTATTACTATTACTTGCTAATAGTAATACTGTAGATTTTAGCCTCAGACTGTGATGTACCTAACATGCTGTCCAACATATAAAATTTATTGTTTGACAAGTTTGCTGATTCTTCCAAGTTCTAGAGAATGTATTACATCTCATCTTGTGCTTAATTTAAAGTTGTAATAAACATCAAAATATATAATGTGCTGTACAATTTAGAGGGTTTCCAGTAAATTCTCGTACAAAGTAAAATTGTGAAACTATAAGTTCAAGCAATTCTCAAGACTATGATGTAGGTACATCACAATATAATTGTCGAATTTCTGCAAATCTTGCCAGGATTATTGCAGTTGCAGCTTGATTTTTTTTTGTTGCTTTGAGTTTGCTTTCTAAAACTTTAGGTTCTGGAAGAAGGTTTATTTTCTTTCTCTCTCTCTCTCTCTTTGGTCTCATTTTTTTGTGGAAACATCATAAAGCAGTGTAATTTGGTAAGTGAAATATTAAAACCTAAATTGTTCACATTTTATTCCATAAAAGGAAAAACGGCAATAATTCATATTGATACTAGCCTTGTTATGCTTTACTGTATAATGTAGGTTTGAGAACTTTAATGAACTGCAACTTCATGTTGAAAGAAAAAAAAAGAGATGTTTCCTTTTTTTAGACTGAAGTCTTCTTTGTATGAAGAAGGCCTCAGTATAGAAGCTGAAATGTCACCTACTTTTCTTTCAACAGGCAGTTGCAGTCCATTAAATTTTTCAGACCTACTATGTGTACTCTGCATAAAGTTCTACTGTATGATGTGTTTAAAGTTTGTTTGGTAAATTAAAAGTATTAAATTATACTTTCATTATGTTGTTTATTGTGGATATTATTGTATTGTATGATTCAGCATTGTGTTGGGCTGGATTTGGAGGAAGGAGGACAGTATCTACATCGAATCATTTCATGAAAGCGGAAGAAACATCACAATCACCAACTGAAACAACTCAAGAATTAAAAAA